GCTGGACACGGGGATCATTTTGCCCTCCAAGTCCCCTTATGGATCCCCTGTGTTGTTCCAAAAGAAACATGATGGCACCATATGACTCAGTGTGGATTATCGGGCCTTGAACAAAATCACCATGAAAAACAAGTACTCTATCCCACTAATGGAAGACATGTTCTATAGACGGGGTGGTGCTATAATGTTCACAAAAATAGACCTGAAAATAGGTTACTGGAAAGTCCATATTGTTGAGGGAGATGAACACAAGACGACATGTGTGACAAGATATGGGTCGTACGAATTCCTGGTCATGCCATTAGGCTTGACTAATGCTCCAGCCACATTTTTCGCCCTGATGAACCAGGTCTTCCGAGAATATTTTGATGAATTCGTAGTGGTCTACTTGGACAACATTGTGGTATATAGCAAAACATTGGAGGAGCACCTGCGGAAGGTCCTAGCCCGACTGCGGGATCACGAATTATATGTGAAGCTATCCAAGTTCTGCTTCGCTCAAAAATAGATTGACTTCCTCGGACATGTCATTAAGGAAGGGCGGATCAAGATGGACTAATAAAAGATTCAGGATGTCACAGATTGGCCGCCGCCTAAGGATATCCACGCCTTGAGGGCGTTTTGTCCTATGCAACTTTAATCAGCGGTTTGTGAAAAATTACTCTCTCATTGTAGTGTTGTTGACAGAACTCCTAAAGAAAGCCACGCCATGGGATTGGAGTCCCAGGTGAGCAGTGGCCTTTAACGCATTGAAAGCGGCTATGTCTAGTAGCCTCGTCTTAGCCCTCCCTGATTTGGCCAAGCCGTTCGAAGTACAAACGAATGCCTCTGACTATGCTCTGGGTGGAGTCTTGCTACAAGAGGGGCATCCAATCGGTACGAGATCTGGAAGTTGAAGGATGCAAAATGGTGCTACGCCGCCCATGAAAAAGAATTATTGTTGTCATCCACTGCTTACGCCTTTAGAGGCACTACCTATTGGGAACCCCGTTCACAGTCAAGATAGATAACATGGTAGTTAGCCATTTCATGACCCAGCCAAAGCTGAATGGCTGACAGGTCAGGTGGTAGAAACTCCTAGCAATATTTCACTTCAACTTGGAGTACCGAAGTGGGAAGACGAACCAAGTTGTTGATGCGCTTAGTTGGAGGGCTGACCTAGCATCGATTTGCCTACTCACCATCCTAAGGGGGAGAGAAATGGCCACCACTATAAAAGACCAAATACAGGATCTACTCACCAAGGATCCTGCTCCACGGTATTTGGTCGATTTGGTAGGACATGGCAAGACTTACCAGTTCTACGTGGAAGATGGATTCCTAAAGGTGAAAGGGATTTGACTGTATGTTCCTAAAAAAGGCGATCTGCAAAGGACTCTTCTAATAGAATGCCATGATACTTTGTGGGTCGGCTACCTAGGTGAAGAACACACCATGGCGTTGTTGCGTCGTGCTTATTATTGGCGTCAAATGGTTGATGATGTTGCGCAGTATGTGAAGACTTTCCTAGTATGCCAGAAAGACAAGTCAGGTCGCTTGACACAAGCGGGACTTTTGGAGCCATTGCCTATTCTAAAGAGACCTTGGGAAAGCGTGTCTTTAGATTTCATCACTGGATTGCCCAAGGTAGGAGATCTTACAACTATCTTGGTTGTGGTAAATAGGTTTTCCAAGTATGCCACATTTATAGCAACTCCAAAATATATATCAGTCGAAGATACAGATCAACTATTCTTCTCTCATGTTGTCAAATATTGGGGTCTGCTTAAAGACATCGTTAGTGATCACGACTCTCACTTCACTAGCAACTTTTGGACTCAACTCTTTAAGTGTCTCGGGTCCAAGTTGAGCTACAGTTCAAGTTTCCATCCGCAATCTGATGGCCATATGGTGCGTTCAATGGCATGTTGGAAGAATACCTCCGCCATTTTGTTACCAGATCATAGAAGAATTGGGTGAAGCTTCTGGATGCTGCACAACTGTGTTTCAATTCAAAAAAGATCTCTAGTAGAAATAGAAGCACTTTTGAAATTGTTATCGGACAGTAACCGCTACTCCCACACACTATAAATGCCCCAAACATGTCGAAATCTCCTCGAGCTGCTAGTTTCTTAAAGGAATGGAAGCGAAATTTGGAGATAGTGCAGAGTTATCTTGTCAAAGCCCAAAAGCAGATGAAAAAGCATGCTGATCAAAATCGTCGCTTTGTTGAATACCAAGTAGGATACAAAGTGATGGTGAAAATCTCAAAGTGATACTTGTTTGCAGGGGTCTATGACCCTCGCCTGTTACAAAAGTACATTGGACCCTTGTCCATTGAGAAGCGCATTGGGAAAGTTGCATACCGGGTGGATACCCTAGCTTGGTGGAAGATTCCTCCAGTCTTTCATGTCAGCCTTCTGAAACCTTTTCGGGAAGACATGGAGGATCCTTCGCGGAGCCAACTCACAATACCCAATATTCAAGGCCCTAATTCAACAGGGAAAAGGCATGCAGAACTATTCTCGATGATCGAGTGATTCATGCTTCAAGGAAAGATCACCAATAGTTCCTGGTGAAATAGCAGGGATATGATACATAGGAGAATACTTGGGAGAGGGGAACAAACCTCAAAGCTTACAAGAGTCTGATCGATGATTATCTTGCAAGTAAGGTGTCTAGGACATCGCCAAATCAAGTGGGGGAGAATGTCATGGGCGGCTTTCCAACCATGCCCCATGACCCCTTGGACGCTCCTCATGGCGTCTTGGCAAGCCTCCCAACGCCTAGCGCCATGGACGGCCCCGTGGTCTTGGCAGCGCTAAGTGACAAGCGCGCATGTGCCTATGTCACCCTATCGATAGCCCACGCTAGCGCCCAACCACATGCAGATGCCAACAGCGTTGTGCGCACAGACAGCGCCGTGCGCGCAGACGTTGATGCTAAAGACAAGATTTCTGCCAATGGACCTACTTCTACTTTGTAAGAATCTAAGTCCTTTTCATCGTAAATATAGAGGAGTTTTACTTCATGTACTTCCATTATGTCTCTCTAGCTTAATTAGGTCAAGTCTTGTTACTTTGGTTTATTTTTTTTTAAGCATTATTAGGGGGGTCAAGCAATCAAACTTTCAAGTAAGCAAATAATTCTCTATACTAGTGTCCCTCCCTCTCGATACCGTGTTGCTTTCTGTAATAGATTTTATTAATGCAATCAAGTTTTCTTTCATTCTCACTCTCTTTTTTGTTCTCTCAATTGCTATTGACATTGGTTTTCTCATGCGGCACCGACAGTCTTGTCTAGCATACGGAGGGAAGCCCAGTTAGCGGATAGTAACCGCGGTGCGGACATCAGTTGCTTAGTCTTACATCGCTCTTCCAAGGAATCTCAGGAAGGCGTCGCGTATCGTGCCTTATACTTGATTGTGTGATTAGTTGTAGACGAGCTAGGAATATTTTCATTTTCTCATGTAAATTTTGTACACGTGATTTCAGAGTTTATAATACAAGGGTATTGACTGCTTGTCTTATTATTGCCCTTCTTTTCAAATTACATTTTTGGTTTATATTCAGTAATATTTACTGTAATGTGAACATTTTGGTTTATATTCAGTACAGGGGCGGCTCAAGAAGATTGGTGGCCTAAAGCCAATTTTTAATCTGGGGCCCTTCAGAAGGAAAAAAAATTCATCTATATTTTTAATTGAAGTCTATTTTTTTAGCTTTTTAAGATGTAAAGTTGTTAATAGTTTCTTTTATAAATAATTTAATCTCTCCTAAGATATTGTTGATCTTAGATAATAGAACCAGATTCAAGAAGTTTATAACTTGATATCGAAATAATTTTTGATGTACTAATATACTTGTTGAAACGCTTGAAACCTGAGGGGGGAAAAAAGGGGGGGAAAAAAAGAATGCGCAATATAGTTTTATTCAACGATACTCTTCAACTCTTGTTTTTAATAGAAAAAATAAAACTCTTTTCTTTCTACAAAGAACAATATAACTTATCGAGAACTTAAGCTTTTTTGCAGAATGTAGTACACATTTTCTGATGAGAAAGATAAAAAATAAGACTTGGACTATTGAAGATTCAAAAAAACGGATTCTAAAAGTTTATTACAGGTTTTTAGTGAAAAATGTAAAAGGAGAATAATAATATAGGTACCTCACTAATGATGTCAATCGTAAAATTTAAATAATGAAAAATTTTATATTCGCGACAAGGGTTTAGGGGGAGTGATTCTCTTTCTCCAATATTTGCTCAAACGGTTACATCAATACGAAATTTATTTATTTTTTTCTTTTAACATACCTAATATATGTAGACTCTTACTCTAAAGATTGTTGTGAGATGTATATGATCCAACCTACCTTAATTAGGTATATCGGGTTCGAGTCCCATGGTTAAAAAAATCCTAATAAAATGTGTTCTCTCTTTTGCTAGACTTTACACTGTACGAATCTAGATTAGTTAGAATCTTAATACAATTACGAGTAGAAAACAAAAAGAAAAATTTGGGGCCCTCAAAATTTGAGGGCCTAAAAGCCTTTGCTTTAGTGGCCTAAAAGCCCCTGATTTAGTAATATTTACTGTGATTTGAAGATTATGCTGATGGAGGACCTTTTTTTAGTCCTATACTTCTGGTTAGTGGTGGCAAAATGGATAAAAAAAAATTATTATTCATCTATATTATTCACTAAAATTTACCTTTAATTTGGGGTTGCTCAAGAAAATCATAAATACCAGTTTGAACCATGAAATTGTGTTATAGATGACATAAAAAGGTTAGATGGTTTGTACCCACAACGAACAACCCATTTGTGTTATAGATGACAATATAAACAAACTACATAGCCAAAAATTAACCACAACACTTGACCTCCGATCCAAATAGAAAGAAAAAGAACAAGGGAAATAATTAAGACTAAAAAGCTAATAAGTCATTACGTATTGCAAAAATAATATTAGTCACTACTGTCATTGAATTGATCAAAAGATTAGTCATGTGTTGGCGCAAATTAAACTGGAGCCCTACAAAACGGACATGCATTCTTTTGCAACAACCACTTCTGGACGCAACCTGCATGAAATTCATGGCCACATTGAAGTGTGCCAACGATATCTTCATCTTTATACTCAAGTAAACAAATGGCACATGTTTCTTGTTCCTCCTCATCATCTATATCCATTGCAAGAGCATTATAAGTACTTATTTCAACCTCAAACTTCTCTTCTTCTTCTTCTTCTTCTTCTTCTTCTAGTATTTCTTCATCCTCGAACTCGTCTTCTTCTTCTTCTTCTACTATTTCTTCGTGTGTGGGTAAGACTTCAGCATTCCTCCTTCTCAGCTGATCGTTGACGCAATCTACATGAAACGCATCTCCATATGGAAGTGTCACTATTAATATATCTTCATTCTGAAGTTCAAGACAACATATGAAACAATATGCTTGTTCCTCACCATCATCTATATGCATAGCACGAGCATAGTAATAAGTTGGTGGTTCCAAATATCCAAACATGTCGTGATCCACTAGTTCATTATTATTGTCTTCCTCCTCTTCATCTGTTTCTTCTTCATCAATTTCATCACTATAATTTATATCATGATCAAGAATAAGTTGTGGCACATAGTTATAATTCACACTCATTCGTGGCTTTCGAATAATAAGAGGCTGTTGTTGGTTCATTCTTTGCAAGTAAAAAACATCATCAGGTGGTAATGTACGAGTAGCAAAGCAAGAACAATATTCATGATCATGAGACATGTTTCTTGGAAGAAAAGATACTCAGGATTTTTGTTAGGTTTTGAGAAAACGAATACAAAGGACACTTTAATCTATCGTATTTATAGGACAAAGGAAGTATTACCGAATTTAATGGGGAGTAGGATTTTTAAAGTTTTTGTTTCCTTTCTAGCTTTACCCCCACGTTTCCTTTCCCCAACATGCTAGGAGTAGGATTTAGGTAAAGAAAATACACAAAATTATTCAAATATTTACTGCCAATGACAATTAAATTTTATTTACTAAAGTATAAAAAATCACAAAAATATTAAATTTTGTAATCAATATAAATATAGTTAAGTAATAATAGAATAGTAGACATCATATGTAATTACTTAATCATTACATGATGGTTTAAATATATTATTAAATATGTGTTAATGATATATGGATAGTTTAGTAAATATATCCGTTTTATGCAATTGTATTTATAGTCGAGACTTGAGAGACATATATGTTAATTTAATTAGAGAGTATACTTTAGAATATATAATTTTTTTAAGAATATTTTTGTTTTGAAAAAATAGTTTTTATGCTGCCATGCAGAAGTTATAGATTTCTGTTTCTTCTCCCGAAAAATCGATCATCCTACTATATATTCAAAATACTTTCTCTCAAAAGTGTGGTCATATACTTTTTTTCTCCAAAATAAGTACTCTTTTAAAGGGAAAAAATATAAGTATTTCTAGTTTCTACAAGCGTACCGTACGTCTTATAAGTATATGCGTTAGAGTTTTCATTCCTGCGATCAAATGTTCTTATAAACTCGGTATTATATTCACAATTTTAAACAAAAGAAACAGATAAAGAGACAATTATGAATGAAAGACGCAATTGAGTCAATAAAATCAAAGGCGGAACCCGGATTTAAAGTTAACGGGCTCAAACTACTATATGAAGTTAATATACAATAGTTTATGGGTTCACAATATAATATTTATAGATATTTAATAAATTTTTTAGTATAAATATAAAGTATGAACAAAAACTACTGGGTTCCAGTGAACCAGGTCTTCAAGCTCTACATCCGCCCCTGAATAAAATACCTTTTTGCTTGTAAATCGAGTTAGATCAAACAATCAAAGTTTTTCAGATCCCATGCTTTTATGATTCTTTTATTTTATTCTCACTAGGTGTCCGATATCTCCATTGGAGTCCCAACTAATACGAAAACGCTTCCTACTTATTTTTAGCTAATTTATGAAAGTGTCCCTTTTTAGGCATTTTGTTCATATTCTAATCTGTCATGTATGTACAAACTAACTAAATAGGGCAAATATTTGTAGTAAATTAATTATCATTCGAGGAAAAACTAATCCTTGCAAAATTGTTAAGTAGGTCAGGACGAAGCAAATTTGCATATCTTATATGTCCCTATCTGAGATAAATTTCAATTAACTGGGGAAAATAGAGGGTTCGTTGGACTAACAAAACTAATGCAAAATTAACATTTTTGAATACATCATTAGTCAACTATTCAGACCAATGGAAACTCCGAACTCGTCATGATGGTGATGATGTTAATTTTAAAAAGAAAATCAAGTTAATCAACTATGAAAAAAAATCAACTAATTAAAGGTAAAGTGAGTATTTTGAGAATTTAGGTGGACAGATAAGTGTCGGCTATTATAGAAGAGATTTCCACATAGAAATATAGAACTGGACCATTCTTTAAATTCTATATTCCTCGAATTTAATGTCCATAAATAACTCCGAATAGATAATTTGCCGTTAAATGGGGGGTTTGGTTGATTTTTGGCATGTCGAAATGGGCTAGTTAATAAATAGGCGGGTCAATGACCCACCCAAACATAACTTGGACTAAAATGGTGGGTTAAGGTGTGCTAAAATTTGGGTTATAGCCCAACCCACGCAACTTTTACCAAGTTTTAATTAAGGAAATTTTACCTCCTATAGCAAAGGTATACACCCTATTTATTATAAACCAAAATTATTTTAAAATATTATTTTCTATAGCTACTTTTTATATTTTATAGCAAAATAAGTATTTCATACCATTGAGGCATGAAATAAGGCATGAAATAAGCTATTTATGTTTTTCCTCTCTCTTAGACATCTGGACATACATATTTTTAAGAGATTGTCATTACTATATTCATGAATACATAGCGTGAATACATGTGAATACATGCGCGTACAGCTGGACTGTCCTGATTTTAGGCGCTTTTTGCTGCTGTATTCATGAATACAACAGCGCGAATACATGTGAATACACTATCGTAACAACTAAATAGTAGCTATAGGAAGTAATTATGTATATGGTAGCTATAGGAAGTTAATAGCCGCTAAACAATAGTGGTTTCTGAAAATTCCTCTTTAATTAATGTGTATTGTTTTCTTATAAATTGAATAATTATCAAATAAGATATTTTTTCTTTTGTTATGGTCATATATAATATCAAATAAAAAAAATTATTTTAAAGATATTCTGCAAAGTTACTCTTAGATTAATTTGGGTTAAAAATCAACCCCACTTTAAATAGAATAAAATGGATTGAGTCAAGATGAGTTGAATTTAATAAATAAACGGGTCAATAACCAGTCCAACCTTGAACGGATTGAACGAATCAAATGGGTTTGAGCTCAAATTGACACCCCTATTTGCTGTATATGATTTTTTCTATACCACTCCTTAGATTCTGTATTTAGTTAGTCCAATGAACTAAATGTTGCTTTTAGATGCAGATGCATGGATTTTTCTTTTTTACAATTAAATTTAGCCCCATAGGACTATTTTTTTTTTCTTTTCTGTGCCCATTGGACTTATGGAAGATAATTTTAATAGTGGCCTCAGAGAAGGCCATTTGTGCAAATAACCTCTCAAGTTCTCATAGTATAAAACAATTTTCGCTCTAAGGTGGTCAATTGCCCAAAACTCTTTAGACTCTAATAATACCCAATAAATTATAGAAATATGAGACTTTGTGGGATGGTCTTTAACTTTGGGAATCTTACTTAAATGTCCCAAATAAATTTCAACTTACCGACCTCTAACAATTAATCATATATTTATCAAAACTAATCAAGCACATATAAAAATTAAAAACCCAAATAAATAAGGTTCTTTCTCCAAGAATCAGACGCAATAATATCATTCCATATTTTTAAGCATGATTAGCAACATTAGATGCAAGATGGAAAAAAAAATTCATGGATGGGGTAGGAAACAAGGTGATGAAATAANTCAATATACAAATCTTGAGGAAGATTGGAGGTGATTTGAACTGATTTGGTATCAAAATTCATAGTTAAAATCGAGTTAAAAAAATTATTCTGCGACACATGTATCAAACATATATTACACATGTATCACACACATATGTATACATGGATATACATGTGATACACATTTGATACAAATATGGTACATATGTGATACACAAATGATATACAATGTGATATANAAACTTCGTCGAATCATCCGAAAATCGAGATTCAAACCCCTTAAGTTGTATCCAATCCAGCTAATTGGCTAATATTAGTAACATTTGGCTAATATTAGTAATATTTAATGAATTTGCCAATTTTTATCATAAGCTAATAAATTGACATAGTTGATAAGTTCTCTTTAACTTTTGACCTCCTTTGATCCATATGTATAACATCAAAGTCAAAAGTTAGAAGTGTTGTCTATGAGGTAAAGGAGGGATAATGCCTATTAAGTTTGAAGTTCTTCACTTGGATAAGCAGCGATAAAAATTCGAGACCATCCACTTTGATGGCTCTTCGTGCATTTCATCCAATAATACCGCTCACTCCAGCCAAGTCTAACCCAAATCGGCTTCAATACCTCAAACCCCAAAGCTCAAACTCAAACATGGGATAAAGTAAGAAAAATAGTCATTTTCCGAACTTAGCCATGGATTCAAAAGTCGTCGAAAAGTAGCTAATTTTTTTGGAATTTATAACCGTCTCAACGGTTTCTAACTTAAAAAGATGAAACTCCATGACAATATCGCGGACAAAATCTAGGACACTGTCATGAAATATTACTTTTTTTTTAGTTTAAAATCCTTGATATCATGGATATAAAAAATAAGGACATTATCTAAAAAAAAATTGTTTAAATTCGAAATCTTTTGACACTAATAGTTTGTTTGGCAAAATATCTCTAAAATTGAAGTGTTTGGCCAAGCTTTTAGAAGGAAAAAAAGTGTGAATAGAATCAGATATAGTTTTGGAGAAACAGAAAAAAATAGCTTCTTTTCAAAAGCACTTTTGAGAAAAATATATTTAAAAATATTTTTTAAAAGTTTGACCAAACACTAATTGTTATTCATAAGTACTTTTAAATTAATTAATTAAACATAAATTACTTTTCAGTACTTTTGAATTTAGTGGTTTTGAGAGAAAACACATATCAAAAATGTCTATTTTCCTAGTAACTTTCAAATATGGACTATTTTTCAAAAATTTGTTCGAAAAGGGGCTGGCCCATACAATTTTTACTCAAACTTGCCCACCCCGAACACCTCACCCTACTCCCCCCCAAGGTCACCCTCGTCGGCATATTTTTGTCGATGTACCGTCGACCCAACCACACTGTATACTTTTCACCCTCCCCCTCTTCTTCTTCATTTGCTAACCCTAATTCCTCCACCACCGTTCACCAAATTCAATTCCGCTGTCGCCGTCTCACCGTCGACTCCGATGTCCGACGACGATCTCGTCGCCAGTCCCTCCTCAAATAACAATTCTTCGTCTCTGCCTCCGTCTCCATCACCTCCACCGCCCTCAACCAACACCGAACTAGCTATTCCTCCGCCACCGCCGACGATCCAGCCGGCGTCAACTCGACCGGCAGCTTTTCCCGCTCGTGAGGACTGCTGGTCGGAGGCGGCGACTCATACTCTGGTCGAAGCGTGGGGGTCCCACTACCTGGAGCTAAAACGCGGTAATCTCCGGCAGAAGTACTGGCAGGAGGTGGCTAACGCCGTTAACGCCCTTCACGGCCACACAAAGAAGCAATATCGCACAGATATACAGTGCAAAAATCGCATCGATACATTGAAGAAGAAGTATAAGATCGAAAAAGCTAGGGTTTCTCAATCCCATGGCCGGTACGTCTCCCCGTGGCCGTTTTTCAACGGCCTCGACGATCTAATCGGCGACAATTTCAAATCGTCGCCGGCTCCGGTAACAGTCGCTCCTCGCCGGAAGACACCTCCGATGCTTCTCCCCCTGCCTTCTGCCGTGCCGGTTGGTCCACGGTCAAAGCGGCCGGCGGCATCCATGGAGGACACCGTTTCCCGGAGAAATTTCTCCGCCATGGCGGCAGCCGCTGCAGCTGCTGCCTCTGAGGAATCGGATGAAGAGGAGGAGTCGGAGACTTCAAGTCCGGCGGCCATAACTCTGGCCGGCGCTCGAAAGGAGGAGAGTGGAGCATTGGCAGAGGGTTGTAGTAGGTTAGCTGAGGCAATAGGAAGGTTTGCAGAGATATACGAACGGGTTGAAGATGCTAAGCAGAGGCAAATGGTGGAATTGGAGAAGCAGAGAATGCAATTCGCAAAGGATTTGGAGATTCAAAGAATGAAACTCATTATGGAGTCACAAGTCCAGCTTGAAAAACTTAAACGCGCTAAGAGCAATTCACAAGCTGGTGAGTGACTGTAATGTTCCTTGTAGGAGACTTTGCTGTTTCTTTCATTCTGTTTCATTTTAGATAGCAACCCAATTGATACTAGTGCGTGTATGTACGTATTTATGTATGTATTGTAAAAAGAGGCTTTGAATTTGAATGTTAGTTACCAAGATATATGAAGTTGTTTCTTATGCAAGAAGTTTGTTGACATTTAATGTTTGGGAAATTTCCAATTGATTGATAATCTGAGGCGGATCTACAATTACCTATAGGTTAACGGGAACTCAATAGTGTTTGCCCAGACCCTGTTTATGTATTAAGAAATCCATTAAGCATTTTTAAATATTAACTATGAACCCAATTTTTATTATATATTAGCTTTAGTTCGTTGTAGAAATGCATAAACTTCAAATCTTGAATCCACCTCTATTAATAATGATGGTATGTTACTCTATTAATAATGATGGTATGTTGTCTTAGGAGCAGTTTATTTATCGTATCTGCTTTTGGCTTTGTTTCTTAGTTTCTCTTTTTTCCTTAATTTGGTTCTTCCAGAGGAAAGATAAATTAGGATTTGTGTAAGCCAGTTTGGGTTATCCTGACTTCTCCTTTGTAGTTACCTCTTGTAGCATGCACTAGTATTATTCTTTTGAATATGACTGAGGAAATTAAACCTGAAATAATCTCAAGGTCTTGGGAAATTTAGGAGACCTGATAAGTGAGAATTAGTGGTGTAACAGTCCTTCGGTTCTACCTGTATGTGTGCGAGAAACACCAGAATGAAGTTGACAATTATAGACAACAGATTCAGGGACCATGTCTAGCAAAGGACGGAATTTGGCATTCCTTCAGTCTTTCCTGAGTTATTCATTGAATCTTGTCTCAGTGATAGAACTTATGTAGAACACATCGTAAATGGGTTAGTTGTCAAGAATATTTGACATTGATCTCACATGTCTTGACTATTCCATAGTTTTTGGGAAAAAACAGTATTGCATTATTTGACATGAAAATTAGTAAATGATGTTCTATTTAGAGCAAAATCCATATGGTAGATGCAAGTTCAAGAGCGCTCATTGTATCTCTAAACCAGTTAACCTCTTGATTGTTAGTAACTTTTTCTTTTTTGATAACATGAAATAATTTTATTATGAACGGAAAGTTGGATAGCCTTGCAAAAATATGGTTCCTTACAAAGTACACCCAATGTTTTTAGACTGCCAGACTGGAACCTCATGGGTGAACCAAAAAGTGGCTATTCCTCAAATGCACAAAGTCAGACCTACTACACCAACAAAAACTCTCCTTTTCCTCCCCTTCCTTAGAACCCATATAAGTGCTAGTGGGCGACATCCCATGCTCTACGACTTCGTTTCCTTCTTCCTTAGGCCTCTAGCTGTGCAGTGCCGACTTCAACTTTCCAGCCTCAAAAACTAGTGGAAAAAACTTTCTTGGATAGTTGGTTTCTTTGTGTCAGGAATCTGCTTTTGAGGGCTTATACAAGTTTGCACAGAAGGTCATATTCTACATTCATTAGCTTTGTAACTAAACTGCTTAGATAATAACCTCTTCGTTTAAGTATATGTCTCTCTTTTTACCAAAAATAATTACCTTATGTATCTTACTAGATAAATTCTTTTTGATCTTATTGGTCATAAAAGAAATGAAATGATCTTTTACCAACTTTTTATTTTTTATTTTTTTCTTGTTGATTTGGCATAGCGATATGCTTTTTTGTTAAGCTTTTTCTTTCCCATTACCCTCACTAGCCACGCTATGCATCCCCCCAAACAATCTGGTATTGAACTAAATGGTAAATAATGATCAAAACTGTAATTTTCCGTCAAGTACTTCATTGGACCTGTATACTCTTGTCTTGTTGGGTATAAAGGACACGGGGAGCTGCCTTGGGTATCTCCGAGGACTTGAGCTAAGGGATTGTTTACTGAACGTCCCATACTTTACCTATCATTCGGTGAAGTGCCCCCTTCCATTTCTTAGGTAAGAGGAATCTACCCGTAATGCGTGAACCAGTGCCCTTTTCTTTTGTACTAATCAACTATATGAAATATAGAAAAGAAGGTCTTCAATCTTCACACTTATGCGTGTTTGGAACATTTTGAGGTCAGCTTTGAGTGGTTGATTTTTTCCNGCTCGTGAGCCGCCAAGTACCAGTCTCGCAACAGTATTGGCGCAAAAGGATCGGTCATTCACTTGCAGATCGTTCGCGAGTCGAACTCGCTATCTTGCCACGCCTTCCACTCACTCGCTTGAGTCGGACTCGATCACTCTTTTAGTTTGGAGGGTCATTCGTTATTCACTCTCTTGCTATTTATTACCCGCATGGAGCGCAGCAATCAAGATGGAGGGTCATTCGTTATTCACTCTCTTGCTATTTATTACCCGCATGGAGCGCAGCAATCAAGATGCATATTATCATATAGAAAAAGGCGAAAGATGGAAGACAAGAAGCTCAGTAGCAAGGCCATCTCATAGTCACCACTTGTATGTCGTTTCAAGCTTCCAAAACAAGCAGAAAAACACGTTGTCGGTTCAGCAGCTCGAAGTTCATCTGTGATCTTATTCTTCTCCAAGACCCGATGCTTCATCTGCTTGTGCTCTGTCTAACCGCAATGCTTGTCTGGCCTCTCCAGCCAAATTGAGAAATTCTGAGAGAAATTCATCCTTCGTTCTATCTTTTTTTTCTCACTTGTCCGTCCAAGTGGTCGACCTTGCCATCAAGTTGGGTCACTCGATCCTTGAGTGTTTCCTTAACAACATTTTCAAGAATGAAGGTCCGCGCGACACTCGGCATTAACACATTCTTCCTTTAGACTAATTTCGATTTGTTCGATTCAATTTCATTTTCAAGAATGCATTTTTACTTACACTTTCTCTTATAATTGCCACATGCAAATATATAAGGCACATTATTATGAAGGCATTTTTTAATCGTATTTGTTAAACAGACTGATTAAAAGAAGCAGATACGCACTTTTCCTTGTGTTCTGGAACATACTGATAAAGTTTGTCATTAGCATTAAATTTCGGTAGTTTCAACACACATTAATAGTTATGGTCTTGAGACTATGTACTTCTTACCTGGGGAATGGTTGATGTAATGGCTGCAAAAATTGTTTACATGAGCCACTAGGGATCTGAGATAACAGTCAGTTTAAGCTTCACAAGACGGCTAATAAGAGCAGTGAAGATCCTATGCATGTGGATATGTGCGAAAAGTTTTACTCATTGAGAAAATATATTTACTTAATAGTTATAAATGTGCATCTGCTTGCGTATGTAACTACGACTCATAGATGTTTATTGCTTTTGTAACTACGTTTACTCCATTTCTCTCTTTTATCAGTACTAAGTCAGAGGTTGATGGTTGTAAGCATAAATCATCTTATTTTAACAAGTTAATTTGCTATTTGTCTCATAGTAATCTTAGAATTTCTACTGAACATTCTTGTACTGTGTTGAAGTCCTCAAACTTAAATTCTTTTCTCCCACCCTGACTGGTCTGGCACTGTGATGAATAGCTTCAGTTTATAGTTGATTTTCTCCTTATTCTTATTGTAAATTTACAACAAATATTATTCTATTTAGCTAACATGTCCTGCTATATCAAGATCTTATTTCTCTTAGGGTTGGGTGGCAATGTTTTGAAGGAATAGTATACTATTGTTGAGCTTTATTTGTGAAATTAGCAATTGATAGGTTCAGAAGTTTCAATGGTGCAATCTGGCTCCTAAAATACTAAGAAGTTTTAAGAAAAGAAGAGAATCCTTCCCTTTTCGTTGCCTCCCCCCACCCCC